TTGCTGCCTTTTCTTCGGTTATTATTTTTTTTATATTGTATTTTTTTTTTTTAATTGTAATTTTTTTGTTTAAGTTTGTAATTTTTTTTTTGTTTTTAATTTTTTCTTTTTTTTGATAATATATTCTGTTGTATATTTGATTTGTTTTCTTTTTTAATTAAAATGAAAACTAAATTAAACTCAAAATATAGTTAAATTGATTCATTATCCAATTATCATAGTATATTAATATTACATTCAATTGTTAAAAATAATGTATTGCAATTGCTGCTTTTAAAATTTACTATAAGCCAAGACAATATATTTAGCTTTATAAATGCAATTAAATCTCAATTTGATTTTTTATCTTAAATGTTTATAGTTTAGCCCCTTAAAGCATTTTATTTTGCTCTTAATTTAAATATTTTAAATATATTTTTATATATTTAAAATATTTAAATTAAGAGCATAAGTTTAAATTAATATATATTTTTATTTTAAATATATGTCTTCTAAATTAAACTAAAGCTTACTGAAAGCCAACATTAAATAACGTCATTAAACAACACCGAAGAAGAACTGCTGCATCATGACAGCAACTGAAGTATGATAACAGGTTACCAAATGCAGGTAAATTGTTTTCCAGTTATTTTTTCTTTCTTTTTTATGTCTACTTTTTTTTATTCTTTTTTTATGCCTACTTATCTGTTACAATTTTTATTTTAGGTTTATCGTATGATGCAATATAAAAGATCAAAGTTGACATTTTTTTAAAAATTTGTTATACACATGTTTGATTGTAAATTATTTAATTTTTTTTTAAACATTTTTGTACTCAATTGCTTTGTTATTTTTAATAAATTTATTTATTTAAGTGCATTTAACGTTGTTAAGATAACAAATTTTCTTTCTAAAGAAAAATTTAACCTGAGAGGGGATACCAAAAGTTAATAACTCCTGTATAATATAATATAAGTTAATTTCATGATAAACTAAATAAATAATTAAGGTTTATGTTATAAAACAAATATTACAAGTAGTTAGTTGATATTTAAAAAGATTAGCAAAGTGTTATTATTTTGTGTTGAACTTAGAAATGTCGATAAAAATGGTTCTGTCTTACACTGATATGAATTATGTCAGTTGTAAATTACTCCAATGTGTTAAATAATAATTGGTAAATTATTTTACCTCTTCATACTTATTATGTTAATTTTACCGATAGATTAATTTTTTCAATTTAAAGGCGTTTTTCTAAAAGGGTATTAGTTAAGAATTTGCATTTTTAAATTGTGGAAAACAGCCACTATAAATTAATTATGTAACAGACCGACCTTAACCCATATTACATAAGAACTATAGTCTATAGTTCTTTAAAAGGAGGGAGGGGATAAAATATTTTTTTTAAATATGTGTTTTTCCCTAACAGTTATAGTGTAAAAATTTTTTTTTTTTTTTTTTTTTTTTTTTGGGGGGGGGGCCTAGAACCCCCTGGCCTCCTCGTTGGTTATGGCTCTGTATAAATATATATATATATATATATATATATATATATATATATATATATATATATATATATATATATATATATATATATATATCAACGCTCAAAATAGTTTTTCAAAGCTTGACGATCAAATGTAATTTTTTCACAGAAACAGGTTAAATTCCCTTGAATTTTTTGAAATTTCCCTAAAAATAGAGTTTTAAAAAAACAAAGTTTGACAAAGAATCATGATGTAATTTGAAAAATAAATATACCAGGCCTTGTTTTAAAGCGTTATGCATAGAGCGATTTATGTACGCCTTAAGTATGTAAGCAGTAAGCGATTTTGGTTAAGGAAATTTTTATTATTTATTTTATTACTTATTTTTATTATTATTTATTTTATTATTTATTTTATTATTAACTTTTAAATTATTCTATAAGCGGTAAGATAAAAAATTTTTTAAAAAAACAGCATTAACTTTTGAATGACAATTATGTAAAATTATTTGTTACAAAAGTTTCAATGACAATTATGTTAGATATAAGCATTTTTTTACAATGACAAAAACTTAAATAAAATTAAAAATTTATTTTACTTTTGTTTTTATTTTATTGCGATATTTTTGCTTGAAAAACGCTAATACTTTAAGCTTGAAGATCATAATAATATAATTTAATTCTGATAAAAAATAAATGATTTAATTTAAAACTAATTCAATAAAAATATATAATTTTAAAAAAATGATAAGAAAAAAAATCTTATTTAGATTAAAAATTATAATTTAATTTTTATTTAAAACTTTATTTTTAAGTTAAACCCAAGTACTAACTTTTTTCAAAGTTAGTACTTGGGTTTAACTTAACTGTCAAATTTATTTTTAAATATTACAAAATATTTTATTTATTCTTTAAAAAAAGTTAATATCAAACATTTCTTAATATTAAAATAAAAATAAAAGAAAATAAACATTCACTTACAGTAATAATAAAAAAGTTAATATTTAACTTGCTTTGCAGTAATTAATATTATTGGAGTAATTTAAAAAAGTTTATGTCTTTAAAAGCTCAATTCCACATAAGACTAATGCGTTAAGCTTTTTTTATTTAAAACAAGGCATGATATACTAAAATTTCATAAAATTATTTAAATTTTGAAAATGCATTTAAAATAGTTGCATTGTTTTCAATATGCTTTTTAAAACTTTATTTATGATACATTAATTCACTTAGCTTATTAATATTATATATGACATTAACTCTATTAATTTTTTTTGATTCACTTATTTAGATTTTATTGCTTTTATTTTAATGGTGGTAAAAAAATTCCTTTTTTTTTTAAATGATTGAAGTATTTTATTGTTATTTTAATAAAAATATTTAATAAATTATTTTAATAATAATATATAATAATTGCTGTATTAATAAATTATTTTAATAATAATATATAATAATTAACTAGAAACATTTTTTTTTAAACTGTACTTTAGTCACTTGGTTTGTTCTTTTTTTTAAGCCTAATTTATTTTTCTCGCAAGTTTCTGCTGCAAATTGCATTAAATGAATGAATTATAGGTTTAAAATTACTAAGTGCCCTTTTTTTTCTATAATAGGATTTTTTAAAAATATATTAATATTTAGTAAAAATCTAGTTTTTCGTAACTTTAGTAATTTTTATAGTAGTGTTTTATAAAACAATTGTATTCATAGTATTAAGTATTCAATCTATATAGTACTATATATACTATAGTACTATAGTATATAGTCTGCGCACAATAGTTAAAAAAAATTACTAATTTTACAAATTATTAAAACTAACTAATTAACATTAGCAGCTTTTAAAATGATTTTAATGAGCAGATATAAAATGTGCCATTATTTATCTTTAACGTTGTTGACTTAAAAGATTAAAGTTCTTATTTTAATATTATTAGAGATTGTTGAACGTAACTAAGAACATATTTTCTTCCAACTGTACTTTTTTTTTTCATTCAATCTTTTTATTGATAATTTTATATGATAATTTTAAACTTAATATAAAATAATTTATTCATTGCAAGTAATAGAAAATCAAGGAATCAGTCAAAACATATATTTGAAAATACATTTTTAGTTAAAACTTGGTTTTGTAATTATCATATTAGCATTTCACAAAACAATTTTTTTTTAATATTTAAAACATTAGGTTTAAAATTTTTTCATAAAGAAATATTGCTAAGATATAAATTTAGGTAAAGAAATAAACATTTTTTTAAATGTACAGAAATTATTTATAGATATTTAAAAAAAAATGTATAGCATTTATATGCTGTAACATCTAAACGTAATTAGAAATATATTTAGAAGAATTTTTTATATTTTATATAAGATGACTGCTACTAAACTTTTTTGAACAGCTCATTCAAATAAAAATATTTTTTTTTGTGCTGAAAAACCTTTTTGAACAGCTTATTTGAATACAAATATTTTTTTTTGTAAAAAAATTTTTTAGAAAAAAGTTATTAAAACTTGCCTAAATAATATAATATAAATAATATACATAATAATAGTTCTTAAATAAGGTTTTAATAAAATCCAACATTTACAAACCTAAAAGTCAAACTTTTGAGATATTTCTTTTTCACTTATAATATTAATACTACATAGTTATGTTATATAGTATTATAGTTATATTAATATACTATATAATAATACTAGACATATTTAGATTAGGCAGGTTCTATACCTTTTTTTTTCAAGATATTTTCTCAAAGAATTCAGTTAAAGTTACAATTCACTCAAGATGTAAAACTTATATTTAAAAAAACTATTTTGCTTTTCCAATTGAATAAACATTGAATAAAATACTTAAAGTATTGGTTCAGATTTATTGCTTAGTCAGTATCATTTAATAATCTCAATGTAAGCACTGATGAAAAATTATTAGTTATAAATAAGTTTAAAAAACATCTTTTAACTTGTTTAGGCAGAGGTTGAGAATGGTGAGGTCTACTTATTTAGGCAGAGGTTGAGAAAGTTCAACTTATTTAGGCAGAGGTTGAGAATGGTGAGGTCATCAGCATCTAGAAACATAACAATTATAAGACAATTATTTAACAGATGAATAATAAAAGGTTAAACTTAAAGTAAAGAAGTTTCACAAATTATTTAAATATAGATATTCAAAAATATTAAGAGCAAAGACTCTTAATACTTTTTATCTAAGACAAACATAAGAAAGTGCTAAGAAAATATCAAAACAATGGCAATAATCAACATCAACATCATCATGGATTAGTTTGGAATCAGTAAAATAAAAAATGCTTAATATATAACTTATAAAGTAACAAAGAATAAAAAAGTTACATCAATAATAATGATAATGATATGGATGAAGATGATGATGATGATGATGATAATGATCATCATCATCGTCATCAATATCATTGCGGATGCAATTTGTAATCAGTAAAATAAAAACAATATATTAAGTAGCTAAATTACCTAAACTTAATTTTGCAACTTTTTAACAATATATTACTAAAATATTACTCACTTTTTTTTGATTGGGTGAAGGTTGTTCACATGCTTGGCAAATTGAAACAGATAAATCGTTCAATAATGTACAATACTGACAACTCCACTGTTGTGGTATGGTGAATTTTTCAGCTTCCTTTGTTTGCCTAACCTCAAAAGAAGACACTGAATGTGTTCTTTTTATATGTTCCTGCTTCAGCTCTGTTTTAATTGAACTTTGTTGATCTGGAAACTGGAAACTAGTCTGATTATTATTATGTGATTGTTGAACTTGCATTTGATGTGTTCTTTTTATATGCTCTTGCTTCAGCTCTGTTTTAATTGAACTTTGTTGATCTTGAAACTGGAACCTAGTTTGATTATTATTATGTGATTGGTGACCCTGCATTTGATGTCCACAATTTTGACAAAACTTAGGCTGCTCAATAAAACGGGAATTGCAATTAGAACACAAAAAGAAACCTGTTGCTGAAAAAAAAGTTTTATAACTTTATATTATTAAATTAACTTCATTTCAAAACAAACAAAATAATATATTTATGTTACTTTTGTTAATAAATTTACTACATATAATATATATTAATTAAATATAATATTGGTTAATTACTTAATTAACTTTGTTAATAATTATTATTATATTCATTATTTAAAAAAACAAGCAGAAATACTTGATATACCTGTAGATATATTAACATTAGAAGTAACTAATGAACTTTCACGAGATAGGGGTGAGTTAAAAGCAAATTCCAAACTCTTTGGACCTTGGTAGACTAATGAATCATTTTGTTCAACAGCAAAGGTTGGATTAATATTTGACACATTGTAAGTAAAGTAGACCTCTGGGATACTACCAGTCATATGCAAAATTTCAAAATAAGGATGTTTGTGATTTAACAAAAAATCTATTTCATATTTAGCAATCAACAAATCTATAACTAAATCCATTACTAGGCTATAATTAGGTTTAACTCCTAATGGAAATACTAAAATGTCTCCTGTAGGTTGTTTTATTTTTTCTGTGTATCCCATGCTTCGAATAATACTATCAGCACCCTTTACAGTCCCAACTGAATTTATGAACAAATTCGAAGAAGTTGAAATTTTTCTCCAAGAAGGGTGTCTTAAGCTTTCTTCTTTTAAAAGAGTCATACCATATTTTTCAAGTAGATTAAATGCTGTAGGAATTTTAGAGATATCAATATCCTAAAGTTTGTAAAATTGTTGTTAAAATAAATTCTTTTTTTTTAAACTGTTTTCTTTTTTATAAACTTAATCATAAACTTGTATCTTATAGGAAAGAACCAAAAATGATGAAAACAAATGAAACTGATTTTTCTAGTAACTATATAATATAAAAAACTATACATAAATATATATATATATATATATATATATATATATATATATATATATATATATATATATATATATATATATATATGTATATATATATGTATATATATATATGTATATATATATATATATATATATATATATATATATATATATATATATATATATATATATATATATATATATATATATATATATATATATATATATATATATATGGTTATGTATTTCAATTTGTTTCTTCGCGCAGCAGCCTTGTTCACAACCACAAAAGTAGCCTCCCGACTGTAGTAGCCTTCTTGGCCTTGGGGAGGTGAATAATTAAAAATATATATCAAAGTTTTACAGAATAAATGCTTCAATGAGTACATAAAATAACTGATAAAATAAAATGCACAGTGTAGCTACATTGACTAATCTAAGTAGGTATAGAGGACTATTTTAGTAATAAGTTAGTTTAGGGAACATTGCTATTTATTCTATACCACCTTATCACGGCTGGTAAAACCGTTAATGCAGCTGAGTCATACATTAATCTAGTAAAGTTTAAGTCAATTTAAAAAGTCAATACCAACTTAATTTAAATTGGAACAGTTATAGTCGAGTTTACATACATCAACTGATGGTTTATGTTTGGCTAGATACTCTATTAATCAAAAGAAAGGTCTTACTAGATTTGAAACTAAAAAAAAAAAATTGCGTCACAAAATTAAATACCTGTCCTCTTTTTTATTATTCCTTTTTAACATACTCCAACTGACAAATAGGTAGAACATGCGAGGCGTGCTGCTACATCGAATGAAAAACAGGTAGAAGAAACAGTGAATTCATTTAACAGTCTTAAAAAAGTTTTGTATATAACTTTTAGTAATTGACTGTTTAAACCTAAAAATGTATTTCCTCAACATGTATTTCTTACCAAAGTGCATAACTAAAAACTTCATAAAATTAAACTTTAATAGCCATTTATTGGACTAGTTGACTGCATTAACTAGGTTATTTTGCAATAAGTTAACACTTGTTTCAAAATCAACCCTTGATAATACTTTTGCATCATCAACATACCTCTTTGAAATATTCAGGAATATTCAGGAATATCAGAAATATTCAAATTTTTCAAATCATTAATATAAATAATAAATAGTAAAGGACCAATAACAGAGCCTTGTGGCACACCACTAAATATATCCTTTCAAGATGAGGTAATTTCTCTTATCACACCTCTTCTATTCTTTAGAAATGCTTTAATCCATTTTAACAACCTATCAGAAATCCCATAACATTTAAATTTTATCAGTAGTCTTTAAAAGGGCACCGAACTAATATTTCTTTGCAAAGCCCAAGTAAATTACATCAACAAGTATATTCTGAGAAAAATAATATGAGATTGTGTCATGTCTCAATAAGGTAGGTTGACAAAGATCTTTTCTTAACAAAGCCATGTTAATTTTTCAAAAAAAAATATTGGCATTTAGGAAATTCATAACTAAATCTTGCATGAACCCTTCGAGAATTAGACATGAACGAATAAGAAGATCTAATGTTTGCTTCAGGGATTTTATGTCAACAAGTATGGGTAGTAAAGTCAAGTAAGTAAAGTCACTCAGTGTCTTGATATGTTTGATGACTTTGTAAATGAGAAAGCTTAGTGATGTTGTAGAGAAAACACATTTTTAGTTTTGTAAATAAAATTGATTGAGATTGTTGACACATTTCGCTTGAACCATAACAGATATGTCAAATTATAAAAATAAGCTAAAGTATCCTTTACTTTCTTATTAATGATAAAATTGTAAATTGTTATTTGGAATTGTGCTAATGTCACAATAAATAATGTCAAGAAAATTGATGTAAACTTCAATGGGCATCGGGTGTACAGGTATATTACCTGCCCTATGCTCTGCTGCCATGTAGGTGTGCTTTTTTTAGGTAAAGGCTTAGAGAAACAAACCCCAACTTGTAAAAGCCTTGGGGTTTTTGGTTAGTTAATGGCTAGAGATGGTGTTTTGATACACATACTTATCTTGGGTAGATTTTAACTGCATCCAGCTACTGTTTTGTAGAAGGCCTCCTAGACAAAGACTTTAGGGGTAAGCAGAATAATTATGATAACAGGTCTGGAATCCTTTATTTATCTATTAGACTAGGGTAAATGTAAAACTGTGTTATATTGTTTCCTGCATAGGGTGATGAATGCTGGATCTTTTTGACTTTAGTGACTTTAGGTTTTTGCTTGTGCCCCTTTGATAATGGCTACGCAACTCTTCTTGCATAAATATGCAACTCCTAATGCATAAACACGCAACTCTTTATGCTAATTATGGTGCAGTTCTAAAATCTAGTTTAATGGTTCTGAGGCCAGCTGGTAAAAATGTTTCTCGAAGTCTGTGATAGCTCTCAGAGATGCTAATATTAACAGTTGTAAAATATCAGAGTATTAAAAGTGCCATGTTGCGTATGGATAGTGTCCCTATTTAATGTTTTTTGTGTGCATTGTCAAGGCCACATAAGGAGCCCTAAGTTACAACTTTAAGTTAATTACCTGAACTGAGAAAACTGTACAGCTCATTGCTTGGGATGTCGTGCTCTATCTATGAACGAGTCAAGTTTTCTTTAAACTAAATCATGCCCAAAATACTTAACATAAAATACCATTCCCACCATCTAACTGTTTCAAAATATCTTTCACAAATATTTGTGGTCTTCAAAGTAAATTTCAATCAGTTGAATCTTATGCCTTGCAAAATTCACCAGAACTGCTTGCTCTTTGTGAGACTAATTTAAATTCGGCTGTTTCTTCTGCAAATCTCAGTATTAACAAGTACTATCCTTTGATTCGAAAAGACTCCAATAGTCACATGCTTAGCTTGGGGATATATTTACGCATCAAATTACATATTTGTTAAGAAATCAGGTTTGAATCTCTCAACTGTTCTTCTGTGTGCCTCTGCTTAGCACAGGGTTGGCAAAAAAATCCAACCCAAAAAAACCCACCTTGAAAAAACCCAAAAAAAATCCAAAATATATTTGTTTATTTTTTTAAATGTTCTATTTTACAACTGATAAGTCTGGTTTTAACTATTATAAATACTTTATTATCAACAAGTACAATTTTTGTACTTTAAATACTTTTATACTGTAAATACTCTTTTAAACACTGTATTTATATATAAAATGGTATTAAGAATATAATTTTGAGTTCGAACTCCTTATAGAATAATCCAAAACCGATCAATCTTATTTTGTTGAAAGTTGGTAGTTTATTATTTTTTTAAACCATATTGCAAGTTAAATATTAAAAAATATTATTGAAATATGTATTAAAATATTAAATTAGTTAAATATTTATAAAGGAAATAAAAATCATTCTAATAAATAAATTTCAAAGTACAAGATATTAATAGCTATCTAGTATCTTTACTCTCCTCTAAAATATATTTTTATTATATTTATTATATTTTTATTATATTTATTATATATTTATATAATATATTTCCAAACAAGTGTTTTATATATGTCATTTTATACTGGTATTTGATCTTTATTTTTTAAAGCTTATGTTTTAAAGTGCAAATTTTAGTAAAAAGCCACAAGTGAAACACTATATATTTAAAATTGTTAAACTTTATTCAAGTCAAGAAATGGAAAGTTGTCACTTTTGATGTCACAATATGCTACAGTTTACTAGACTGTGGACTTGTACTTGTTAAGTGCATACAACTTTAAAACATAAAAAACATTGTGTTATGTGCAAGCAAATTTACAACATATTTGCTCATTCAACAATAGAACATGTTGGAAACTTTGGATGCTTTTCACAAGGACAAGATTTGTTAGTGAAATTAATACTCATACTTATCTGTCTATTTTACAGGTTTTAAATATTTTATATCACCTACAAGTTTACAACATATACCATCAACAAGGGTGACTATGAATAGCAAGTTGAAAATGAACATCAGTACCAAGTTTGCTAAAAGATGAATAAATACACACAATAGTCTATATATTGTGCTGCTATGATTCAGTTGCAAAACTGAGGTGATAAAACATCTTTAAAGAAAAAAAAAATACTCTGGTAGTGGACACTGTAATGGTTCTTAACAAATTTTAAGATATTCTTAAGAACAGTCTAAGCTTAGTCACAGATGCATTCGCAAAACAAATATATCCATAATCTAAAAAATAAAAACATTATGAAGTGTCAATATCATCCCGAATAGGCTAATCATTACTCTCACACCATTTTAAAAATACAATTAAAAATACAAAAGATCATATAAAATAAGAAAATTAAGACAATTACTGCATAATGCATAATCTATAACTTTTCTAGGAAGCTAGTCAGTATAATGTTCTGTTAAAAAAAAGTAGTGATTAGCCTAAAAGTTTTCTTCTATGATCCAAAAATGTTTAAAAAGTGTTTGTAGACATCCTGATTGTTGATTACATGTTGTAGAAACTGTGCAAACTAGTTTTTGAAGTGACATGTTGAACATATTAGCATAAAAAACTAGTTTGTAACATTTATACTGTCTTTAAATAACTCAATTGTCATAATAATTTTTATAGAATTTTTTTTTTAGTTGATAATATTCTGAACATGTTTTTAATTGAGTGCAATTAATTAACATCATTTATATTTGAAAGAGTTCCCTTTTGCACTATAGATATAATATGGTAGTAGACTAGTGGTAAAACATTTGGCTTGCAATCAAAAAGTAATCAGCCGTGGTAGTGAGTAGCGCACTTGCCTCAAAAACGTAAGATCTGCGGTTTAAACCCCATCTCTGAGTTTAAAACCCCATCTGTGACTGTTAGGAACAAGGCAGGAACTTCCTATTAAATGC